AGAGAGAGAGAGAGAGAGAGAGAGAGAGAGAGAGAGAGAGAGAGAGAGAGAGAGAGAGATAAGATGATGATAGAGATAGGTAAGTATGTATGAAGACTGGTAGGGTTGAAAGGGAAGGTAGGTAGATAGGTAGCTCACTCTTTGGAAAATTCATCTTATTTTTTCAAGAATTTAAGATTAATTAATATATTTTCTTGATGTTTTAGGTATGATCTATTTCTGGAAACAGCTGTCATCACTCCAAATAATCATGGCTGCAATCATCAGTTCTTTATTTTTGAATTTTAAAGATGGTCATGATGTCCTGCCTTCCGAAGCGAATGGAGCCTTGCTGCTTGTCATGTTGGGGAAAGTATCTCTCAATTTTTTTCTGTTGCAAGCCAGAAAAAACAATCATCATCAGAGTTTCATGAGCTATTTCTGCATTTCACTAGCTATCTTTGACTTGCTGCTTCTGGGGATGATGACTCTAATTTTCTGCAATCGGAATATTTTGATTGGAGAGATTAGATTTACCGAGTATCACATCTGCCTTTTGCCTCAGATTATCTCCCTTGTCTATGGAATTTTACATTACCCAGTTTTTTTGATAGCTGGCTTGGATTATTGCTTTACAATAGCCCACACTTCCAACTATAAGAACAAATGCTGGAAAGCACTGTACACAATTGCTGTGATACTCACATGGATTTCTGCCCTTGGTTACATTCTGAATCTTCGGAACAGTTCTTTATGGCTGAATATAAACAACGACAATTATGGGCATCAATGTCCTTTCTACATCAGCAGCCAAACTTACTGGCTCTCACTTGGTATGTTGACCATAATATGCTTGGTTCTTGTTTTCTGTTGGTCAGAAATTCTAAACATGGTGCAGTCGACTAAGCTTATTTCTTTTGAGGGAGACAGTGTTCTGTTATTTCCTTATGAGCTTGAGGGCAGCTCCAGAGGTCATTCAAAATGTCTTTTGGCAAGACTTCTGATCAGCTTCATGGGCACTTGGACACCATTCGTTGTACTCCAAATGCTGATTGTGTTACTTAATGCAAAGATTCCTGCCCACATTGAGATGAACGTCCCCTGGCTTTATTTTGTCAACAGCTTCCTTATTGGGATTGCATGTTGGGTGAGAGGCCAAGACATTGTGTTTCCTGAAGATTCTTGGGATGTGGATCCATTTGTCAGCTGGAAATTTTGCTTTATACCTTTCAGCTTTCCAAACACCGAAAAAGCTGTAAAACCAGACAGCGAAATCACAATCTGTTAATGAACTACCATAGGATAATATAGACTGGGTTGCAGTCAATGGAGAAGGCTGCAAGTTAAGTTGACGAACTACAGGAGAGGAGGAACATCAAATGAGATATCGGTTGAACATTTTCTCAAATTCTGCTGCGTGTGTAGGAACATGGCTGTATAAAAGAATACTATGTGTTTTCCAAGTTGAATTTCCAATATGGTTGTTATTTCAAAATAAAGTGTAAGGGAGTTTTTACTGTGTTGCAATTGATTGATGAATTGTGTGCCATCAAGTAGTTTTCGATTCCTATCAACCACAAACAGATTTCTTCATGAATCATGTTGCTATAATATTTCAACATTAACCAATGATGTGTAGAAAGTTAGCAGCCACCCCTCTCCTTGAAGAATGAAATATTTTAGTAAATATTTAAAAAGGCAGAATATTATAATTCCCTGGACGAGACATTGAGAAACATGCTCTTGGAGACTGAGGGCAACTCCTAATTTCTTAATAGTCCCCAGCAGATATTTGTTGCTCATTAAGAAAGACTGGGCCAGCCTATCTACAAGACAAAAGGCCTCCAGCTCTCTCGGGTGATGGGATTAAGACATGTACATCCAGGACATAATAGGATTAACCCATCTAGCAGCAGAGCTCACTACATTGGACAATCACCTGGGGACATTGCATCACCCAGCGAGCTTCAACCAAATCTGGGACTCGGACAACCTACAAAGTTAGCTATGACCCCTAAAATAGCTAATAGAATACATGTTCTTGCACAGGAACAGGAAGTTCAAGTGCAAAGCCGAAGTAAGGGTATAAATAACCCTCTCTTCCAATTCCATGTGGTCAGCTGCGCCAGGACCATGTGCTTGGTGGTTCTGTTTCACCATTAAACCCTCTTTCCAATCAGCCTCCAGCCTTATGTTTCCAGTGTCTTTTTCCTGACTAGGAACTGAACCAGATGGACATTTTGTCCAACAGATGTAACCCAACAAGTATCAAGTCCTTCTATGAGAATAATTACCTCATAAGGTTGCTGTTGTACAAATAAAAATGGAGATCCCCATATAAAGAAGGAAGGAAAGAAGGAAGGTTAGTAGGTAGGTTTGGGGTGTGCTGTATTTTCACTATATGATGATTTAAATGTACCGTAGAATTTATTTATTCTGAATTTATTAGCCACCCAACTCTGATGGAGTCTTTCAAAGGATAAAATTGAATAACAACAAAAGACAGCAGTTTCTAATTAATTAAAAAAGCAGAACAGGAATCTTCTGATATGCAAATGCATATCAGACATTAATCCATTTTTGCTGCTGCTTGCATTAAAAAGGCACACACTGGCTCAGGAATTCTGGGAGTTGAAGTTCACGGGTCGTAAAGTTGTGCATAGCTGCCTAACTCTGCACCAGATAGACCCATGTTCTGAAATAGCCCAACTACCCATTCACAGATATTCCATGGCTGTGAATTGTTAGACAACTTAATAGGCAGCTAAACATGTCGTTCCAAGCACCCATCTACCCTCACTTAATTCAGCCTACCCATACTACAGGCAATTATATTTGTTCTTCCCACTGACAGGTGACACTCAGTATGAGGAGAAACTGAGCCAGAGGAATACTCCAAAACCTTTAAAAAACAACAACTTGTCTCATTAAAAAAGGAAGGACAGCACCAGTCACCAATTTTTGGCCTCACTACTATAGCAGAACACATATTGACAGTCAGGACCACAAATTATATGGCATTATATGTTTTCCTATCCTTTGATGGATAAAATTTAACACCTTTATCTGTCTAGGTCCACAGCAACAAATGGATACCGATAAGGTAAAGGTTCCCCTCACACATATGTGCTTGTCGTTCCCAACACTAGGGGGCGGTGCTCATCTCCGTTTTAAAGCCGAAGAGCCAGCACTATCTGAAGACATCTCCATGGTCATGTGGCCAGCATGACAAAACACTGAAGGAGCACAGAACGCTGTTACCTTCCCACCAAAGGTGGTTCCTGTTTTTCTACTTGCATTTTTTACATGCTTTTGAACTGCTAGGTTGGCAGAAGCTGGGACAAGTAACGGGAGCTTACTCCGTTACGCAGCGCTAGGGATTCGAACTGCTGAACTGCTGACCTTGACATGCTGATTTACATGCTCAGCATCTTAGCCACTGAGCAACCGCGTCCCTTAAATCAGAAAATATACGAACTTAATTTTGAACACAACTGATCATGATAA